ACATCGACTTGTGCTGTTCATTTTTGTTGTTTTTTTGTGTATATCATAACTCTTGGCTTTGCATTTTGGTCATCATAATATATACTACGAATATTTTCATCCCAATATATTTTAGAATGACATCATGTCTTAAACCTAATGAATTTTTATTACACCAATATCAATATATCATCCCAATAAAAGATCAGACAGTGGCCGGAAAATTTGGTGAACGATTTACAATCACAGGTTTGGCGTGTTACCGAATCAATCACAGGTTTGGCGAGTTACCGAATCTTATTGATAATAATCAACTCCAAAAAAAAAATTAAATAAAAATTCAGTTGTTCATCAATCATCACTATGAATAACTTGCATGCATGTCTTCAGTGAAGCAAGAGAAGATAGTACTATCTCTTTTCTAGAAAAATAATTTATCCTTCTCGACAGCATTGGACCGAGGAATCAAGCATCTATCGAGTTGGCAAAATAGTCTTTTGGCACCATTGATGCGAATATCCGTAAATGCACTACCAGATTGCAACAACTTCAATTGGGGGATGGAATAGTGTAGAATAGTACCTTGATAGCTAACACAAAAGAGGAAATGGAACGTCATATCATTTACAAAAGTGACTATTTGTCTCAACAGGCAAAAATTCGCTGGTCACAGGAAGGGGATAGAAACACAAGTTACTTCAATAGCTGGGCAATGAGACGTAAAGCTCGTAATTGGATTAATGCTCTTCAAGATGAGAATGGTATATGGAAAAACTCACAAGAGGAAGTCCAACAACTTATGCTACAACATTTTAGTAGAGTGCTTGTGGCGGATGATTTTTACCCCAATGATGATGAAATCTGGGGCACCCGACCACCCCTCCTGGATTTGATTCAACCACAGGTGTCTTTGGAGCAGAGAGAAGCTCTATAAAGGCCCTTCACCGCCTCAGAAGTTAAATCTGCTCTTTTTGGTATGGCACCATAGAAGTCGCTGGGACTGGACAGTATTTTGGCGGGTTTCTTTCAGAAATTCTGGGAGACACTCAAGGATAAAACTTTTTCCGCTCTGTTGAAGGTCTTAAATGAACATCAATGAGAGGTTGGTTGGAACCAGATGAGAGTGATATTCATCCCGAAAACGAGTAACCCTAAGACTCCAGCAGACTTTCGTCTTATCAATCTTTGCAATGTCAAGTACAAGATAATTGCAAAGGTCTTAGCAAGCCGCCTCAAGAAAATTTTGCCCAATCTAATCTCGGAAAACCAGAATGATTTTGTCCCAGGCAGGAATATTGGTGAAAACATCCTCATTGCTCATGAAGCTATTGAACACATCAGGAAGTGGAAAAAAGGTCAACTAAGAATAGCGGCACCCAGGATTGATATGAGTAAAACTTATACAGAGTTTCTTGGCCTTTCTTGCAGCAGACGTTGATCAAATTTGGTTTCCGACTACCTTCGTTGAGGTGGTAATGAAATGCGTGAATACGGCCTCGTTCTCAATTTATGTGATTGGTTGGCAATCTAATTTCTTCAAACCGATCAGAGGGCTTCGACAAGGTTGCCCATTATCTCCCTATCTTTTCATAATCTGCCAACAAGTACTATCTCTCGCGCTGAATGATCTGGACAGGTTGTGCAATGGCTTTGGTATCAAGATCGGCCCGTCAGTGCCTCGATTAACGCATTTGATGTACGTCGATGATTGTCTGATCTTTATGGAAGCTAAACAACAAAATGTTCGGGCTCTAGCAGAACTTCTTAATCAAAATGCAAAATACTCTGGCCAACGCATAAATTTTGACAAATCTTCATTGCTGGTGAGTCCCAACATTTCCTCAAATTTTCAGGTTTGGAGTGATATGTGGTTGTGCATCCTAGTTTGGGCATGTCAGGGGAAGTATCTGGGCTTATCCTTGGATTTCATGCAAAGGAAGACCGTTTTGTTTGGTAACATTATTGCTCGTTTAAAACAAAAGTTCAGTCATTGGACGACAAAATCTCTTTCAATGATAGGCAGAGTTACACTAGCTAAGCATGCACTATGTACCCTACCTATTTACATGATAGGTGTCTTCAAGCTGCCACGGAATGTAACCTCACAAATAGACAAGATAGTTGCTAAGTTCATCTAGAGTGGTGACAAAAAAGGTCGAGGCATTCACTAGAAGTCGTGGAATCACCTTGTACTTCTAAGCTACGGGGAGAACTTGGGTTCAGAGCAGCTAAAGAATGAATCAAGCACTTCTTGCAAAAATGGCTTAACGTTTGGTGCATAATAAAGATGCCTTTTTCTCACGGTTCTTCTTGGCAAAATATGCAAAAGGTCAAGACTTCCTGGACTACCAACCTAAAAAGAACATGTCATGGGGATGACACAGTATTATGTGGGGCCGTGACCTATTAGCTGGAGGTTTAAAATGGCAAGTTCACATAGGGAGAGATATCAGACTGGAAGATGATTGGATACCCAACATGGCTAACCCTCTGAGAAATAATGTGCCATTCCAACGTCAGTTAGACTAGAAGGTCAGCGACCTAATAGGCCCGAATAATAAGTGGCAGGAACCACTGGTTCGACAGTTTTTTCCACCAGCTGTGGCTAAGGCAGTTTTAGCTATTTATATCCCCAAGAATCCACATGCATTGGGTGACCGTAGATATTGGTCCATGTCACCTAATGGCACTTACACAGTTAAGTCAGGTTATCATGAAGCGAGGAATAGGGCGGTGAGATGCTCAGGTTCCTGTCAACCCTCGACATCATCCGCAAGTGTGATATCCACCACTTCGTAGAAGAAATTCTGGTCAGTGGAGCTTCCGCCAAAGATTCGGTGGTTCATATGGCGGTTACTTAACCATGCGGTGCCTTCGAGCATGGCGCTGGTTAAACGCGGCCTTCAGATTCCCACACTCTGTGCTCGATGTGGTAATTACAAAAAAAAATGCAACACATCTTTTTTTATTGTGATCACTCACAATGAATGTGGCGTAGTTCCCCATTGGGGTTTGATTTTAGTTGTGGACAAAGGGTTCCTCTAGTGGACTAGTTCGAGGATTGGTTTAATTAGGCCCCAGACAAATCGCTAATTCAACTATCTTGTTTCTTACTCTGAGAAATCTGGATCACGAGAAACAAGGCGATCTATGAAGCGCAATTATTAAACCCTATCCTCGCCCAGGAACAGGCCATAGCAGAATAGAACTTAATCTGTCGTATTTCACGACGACAAAGGATAGAATCGGTAGAAAAGGACCATTGGGAGTCAGCCCCGGGAGAAAGTGAATTTAAGGGAGCAGGAGCTTGGGAAATCTTGTCTGTGCAAGGGCGATTGATTAACTATGGGTCAGACACTTACACAACGAGCTCAGCTGAGATGTCAGAAGCTCGCGAATATTTAGCAGCCTAGCTCAAGCAAGGCACATGGAGATTACAAACTACCAGCTACAGACAGACATCAAACAATAGTGAACATCATTTACGGTAGGAGAACATGTCTTATACTCCTGGAGCCGCTCTTCGAAGAGATTTTCTCGCTGCTTTTTTCAATTTCTAATTTAAAAGTTAGAAAAGTTCCAAGGGATACTGTAGAAGCGGTACATAGGTTAGCAAAAGTGACCCTTTATTTGTCTGCCTGATGTAACTTTCGACTTTAATATATTATAAATCGTTTCTTCCAAAAAAAAAAAGAAAAATAATTTATATTAATTTTTAAAATCTGTATTATTTATTGAATAAATTTAAAAATTTAATGTAGAATAATTTTTTTTTTTCAAGACAGAGGAAGTACTACGAGTCTACGAGCGTAATGTCAATGGCTGGAACTAGCAAATTAATAGACTTTAGATTTTCAAAAATAAAAGCAGTGATTATTTAATGAATCTCACCATGTAGTTGTAATGATACTATTATACTATATTGTTATAAAAAATGTGGTTGACTTGTAAAATAATCACAGTGGCATGAATGGTTTCTGTTCATTTTCATTTTAATTTTTATCGTCGTGATAAGATAAAACTCCGAAAGAGATGAAAAACTTAAAAACTGTTATGTTTTTATTCATTCAAGAAACAAAAATTTGAACGAACATTTGGAGTCATATTTTCATGTTATCTTTTATTTTCAAATTAAGATTTTTCAAGTAGTTACACTCTCAAAGGTTTGTAGACGTTCGATGACAATTAAAATTTTTTTAAGACAAAGAAAGAGGCAAAAGTTTAGAAGATTATAAGAAACTCTAATAACATCATTTTTTACGACGGTTTAATTAAATTTTTTTTTTCCTAAACACTGCACGATTACCATCATCTCTTCTTTCATCTATACTGTTTGTCTGATCCTTTTGCCCGACTTGTGCATCATAATCATAATCAATTCTTAGTAACTCTCCGTTTCAAAAGGTTGTGAAGAGAGGGACATTTGTAAGATTTTGATTCTGGGATAGAGATGATTAGTGTAATAATTACAAAGTTCGACCCCTCAAATGTACGGTTATGTCTTTCAATGTTGCTTTTAATTGTCTGGCCAATGGACGACACACGACACTCATCATGAGCAAGATCATGAACAGTGAACACATTCCGATAATTTTTGTTCTTTGTCTGACCGACTCGCTGAGATTCAGAATGACTAGCAGAAAATGGCAATAATAATAATGGCTCAATGGCCTTTTTCTTTTTCCTCCTAATAATTAGACAACGACGGGAGCTTTTGTTTCTTTTCTGTAAGTCAAAGATTATTACAAAAATGAACCATTATCAACCCCAAACTGAAAGGATAAAGATTTCTGAAACATTATCGGAGAAGTGACAATTTTCCTTTTTTTTTTTTTTTGCAACTTCCTTCCATTTCTCAATTTTTCGCTTTTTGGTTCAATCCAGATTCAAACTCTAACCTCAACCTTTACGATTTGGAGAAAACACACCACTATATTGCACTAAAAACATACCCTCTCTTTCTCAATATTATTGTCCAGTTTAAATTTTCATTTATAATTCAAATAATACTAAAAATGAACATTCAAATTGGACAATATAATTTTGGGATATAGGGATTATAAGATACTATTATCGGGCTATTTGTTCGATTTTGACACATTGAAAGCCACATCCAATGGCTTATCATCACTTTTATGGCTAACAAATGTATATAATCAAGTAACTTGTTTATAAGGCTAAAATTATTCATGGGCCACTTTGGTTTAAATGATATGCTCTATTAAGGCGCCCGGCGCCCATAGGCCGCATAGATTGTTTAAGCGATGTGTTGGTTCCAGTTCCATAAAATGGCTACATATCAAAAGCCCCCATACCTTACAAAATTACACATGAAAAATAAGCTGTACATCAAAAGGTAGAGAGGATCAAGATTCTAAGAGATCATGTTTCCTTGTCGGAACCACCCAGAAGAGTTGAAAGAAGCACATTTTTCTGCTGAATTCCTGCATTGCATCTGCCAAGTAATGAACACTTCGAGAAGCTGTCGTTCGTCAGATTGATCAAGTCATGGTACTATCCTATTTACAGCTGCGTCCAAGGCATCTACATTCCTCCTCAAGACTTTTCTTCAAAAGAATTAAGGAGATTTTTTGGATTGCATTGTGTTGAGAATGCAGAATGGAAGGTTGTAAACTGTATGCCCTCTACAGATAAAGCATGTTGAAGGCGATTGTAACTAACAAAATTTCACTCACTAAGATCAGCAGTCATGCAAGACTAGATACAAAAGGTGACAGATTGGTTCAAGCATACCTCTGATTTGGAAACATTTACCATTTACCAGATAGACGTTAAGAAAATATTCAGATAGATGTTAAGAAAGGATACAACTGTGAGGCAAGATTGTCAATTCCCTTCATTTCCTCGTTTAATCTGCAAAACAAGCAGTAACCCAAAAGCAAATGAGACAGAGTTTAGGATGATAGAAAAGGCACAAATGAGAAGGGACATCATAGATGACGGGGGTAAAACCCTGGAAGAGCAACAAAAACCAGTATCATCCCCAATTCTACTGGGAAATAAACAGAAGATAAAATAAACCAGGAAGGCAAAGCTTGATAGCAAAATCTTTGTTATTGGGCTTGAAATGAGGAACATAACACTCCAACACTTTGTCTAGTTATGTTGAAAGAAGAAACTTCAACCAAGTACTTCAGAAAGTACAATCAACCACCAAATATACCTGAGACAGGAATTGATATAGCGATTCCCTTTTGTTGCTGCATCAAGGGCTGCATCAAAAACATCACGATTTCATTAGGTTAACCAGGAACTAAGGCAGACAGATCTAGTTAGATGACACACACATACACTGTACTCCATAAGCATTGATCATTTAATGACAGAAGTGTGAACTGGACTAGTATGATCCTTCTAAAGTACCAAAACAATAACCACCCCCCAAAGCCCCAAAAACGCAAATTGGCAAAGTAAAAAAGAAAGGTATGTCTCATTTAAGGGAAAGAAACAGCGCCAAAGACCAAAAGGTAATTCTACATCATACATAACAGCATACTTCCAAAAAGTCTGTTGTAATGATTCACAAATGATTATCGTCCGAACATTTAAAACTCAATATCGAAGAGGGTAACTTTTGAATGATTTTAAAGTAAATGCTGCTAACAATTTATTACACTACACGTTCTTTTTCCCAGAGGTCAATCCTGTTATGTACTTTGCTCTTATGGAACCAAGTAGCATATTCCAAAATCTGTGAAGACATCTGTAATCAATTTTTCTACAGACCTATTGTTCAACACCATTACTGGAGGCTGGCGAATATGATAGGTACAGGATTTAAACCTAGTCAAAAGACAGAAATGCCTGAGAAAAAGAGGAGGGGCATCTCCAAAAGGCCTAACATATCACAACTAAACCATTGCCAAACAATTATTATGCACTAATCAATAAATTCACTGCAGTCGAGGTTTATGGCCACAAAACACAACTCAAGCACTGATAACAGGCAAAAAAAAGGAAGATAAGCACCAAGCTTCACAACTAAAAACCACATCTGCATAATAGTAATCAAAGTCATAGAAAGAATCATTTGGTAAAGAATAACAGTCTGAAACTTTACCGGACTCCTGAAGACGACCAGCTGCGTCACTGAAGCAACTCATGTGATCAACTGAAGTACTTGTAACCTAGTTGTAAAATAATCATCATCACTAAGATATTTAAGAGAGAAATACCCACCTTCATAACTGCAATCTAGCTAACTCTATTTTATGTCAACACCTCATAAAAAGAACACACACACAACCACTTCTCTTTTTTTTTTTGTTCTCCACCCCCTTCCTTGTACATATTAAGAACATCCTTAAAACGTAGCAATGCAAAAAAAAGGATAAATGCAGTATAGTTTATCACTAAGCATTGGAGATAATTTACAGAGAGTTTCTGCAAAGCCGCACTTATTTTAAAACTGAAGATTGTCGAATTAAAAAGAAAATGTAATTGAAAAACCTAAAAAACGAATATATGCAACGAGATAGCATCCATTTCAGAAAACAAATACTCCCTCCGTCCCAAAATTAATGTCCAGTCTAGATTATCATTTCCGTGCAACTTGAACTGAAAATGAAAATCCAAACTGGACAATCATTTCTGGACAGAGGGAGAACTTCTCTCATGGTGTGTTTTATAAAATGATCGACTTTACTTCCCAAGAGATTAAATGAACAATTTCATGAATTGTACCCAAAAAGAAATTAAATTAGAGTTACCTGAGAGAGAGCTAAACGGAGAGAAGCAAAGAGGGAGGTGAAGCTTTGAGCAATAGCAACAGAGTCCCTCTCAACCACTTCGATGGCTTTCAGAATCTCCTTGCCTTGGGTCACCGGTGCGGGTTTTCCCGAATCTTCGCTCTGCTTACTAATGCTTGAGCTTTCTTCTTCTTCTTGTTCGGAGGTGGGAGTAGCGGAGCTCTCTTCATGAACCTGTTGGTGGAGGTCCGCCGCGGATCGCCGTGCCTGAGGAGGTCCTGATTCTTCCGAAGGCTTTTCCGATTCCATCTGCCGGGAATCGTTTCCAGATCGATCAACGGTGAAGTTCAGTTGACGTCAGTCTAGGCCTATTTCCGGGTTCTGCTTTGGGCTCTATCCATCCCCAATGCGTTAGTAAAGCCCAATTTCAACGTGACAGTTTTTTTTTGTAAGTTCTAATTAGCATAGTCATTTGTTGATAATCTGTCATTTCCCAAAGTTTGGATAAATATAAAATAATATCATCCCAACCTATACAAATCTATATCTTTTCTTTATATATAGTAAAGGAGAGTTTTCAATCGAATACATGGCGTAAAATTAGATAGGCTAATCCACATGGCGTAAAATTAGATAGCCAAGCCCATATGTCGCAACCACATCACTCCATCATTTAATGATAATTTTTAATTTGTAAATCCATAAAATATATAAATAACCAATTTTACTTGTTTTAATTATTCTATTAAAAGCTCCAAAATTTCATCAAATTAACGGAATTATGAAAACTAAGAAACCCTCCCATATAAATGTCTTCCATTATCCAAAAGGAAGAAAATAAAAAACATAATGGTCGGAGATTGGGAGCTCTATGTCTAAATTGACGGATAAGAAGAAAAAAATTCATAAAAGATGAACATAAAAATCAATCTTATTCTAAATATTGAGGAACAAAAATTAGTAAATTAATATCTGAATATTATCACACAATTTACCGAATTAATTTATGACTAACAATAATGTGCCTAATCTGCCAAATAAGTACCCTTAATCAAACATACCGAATTATAATTTTCATAGTATAAAAGTATTTTTTATACTTTGTTACTTATAAATTATATATCTAAGTCCACATGTTATTACCACATCACTCCATCATTTATTGATAATTTTTAATGTAAAATCATAAATTTATATGTAAAACTAAACTAACTTGGAGATTACTCATATATTTACGGTAAATTTTAATTGTAAAAAAGAGGGGTGACCAAAAAAAAAATTTCAAGCTAAAAATCCAAAGATGACCAACTGAAATAAACAACCAAAAAAACCAATTTGATGTGAAAAAAAAAAAAAAACCCGACAGCTATGATGAGAAAAACCAATTCACTGATCAATATTGATTTCTATAGCTATGTGTCAAAGTGTAACCATCAATCGGGTTTTTTTCTCTTTTTCATTGGTTCGTGTATTTGTTTTTCTTTCAGCTAGTGTTGCTTTGATTGTAATTTTTTATGATAATATATTATTGCTCCTTAACGGGCAGTACTAATAAATGATTATTGTTGATTACATTGTGTAAAAATTACAAAACAAAAAAAATAAAACAATAATAACACTAATATAATTATATATTAATCGGCTAAATTTTAATAATATAATAATATGAGCAATAATAGAGACACTAACAAATTATAGTGAAATGGAATAGTGACTAATGAAAAGACAAATATACCATCTTCATTAAATATGTGTAATTATTAATTATGGTAAAAATATAATTTTAGGGACAGATAAATTTTAACGGGAAAATGACAAAAATCTAGGGGCCAAGAATATTATACATCACTCACTATCTTTTTTCACTAGTTTTTTCACTATACATATCATTTTCCTAATAATATATAATATAATATATGTTATAAAATAATATAATAATATATATATATATTCATTATATTTTTTTCATATCATATATTGGTAGAAAAAGTTAACATTATTATGATAAAACAAACCGTAGATATCAATAAGGAGAAAAAAATTTTGAAATGAGAAAAATAATAAAAGTGTGTGAGAGAGAGACAAACAGTAGAAGAAAAGCATATTGAGAAATCGAGAATACTTATATGCAGAAAAAAAAAGTAGAGAATAAAAAAATATGAAAAATGAAATCGAGATACTAGTGAAACATGATATAATTATTATAAAATTTTTGAGAAATTAAGTTTTAAAGAGAGATCATTAAATTTAGGATAAAAAAAAGATGAACACTATGCAACCAAAAATAGTTAAAGTAAACATTATGTTATAGGAAAAATATCGGAACAAACTTCTAAAGAAAGGCTGCAAAAGGTATATAGAGAGATGGAAAAAAAAAAAAGATAAGCTTATGGAAAAACATAATGAGATCATTTTCTATTGGAGGGAAGAATTAAAAAGATATGACACGGGTAGAAATATTTAGAGAAATTATTATAAAAATTAAAAAAATACTTTCAAAAGATATAAAACCATAAATCAACAAAACGAAAAGATAGATAATAAGTTACATTGGATGATTTTGAATATTAAAAATTATTCCAAATGTACTTAAAATAACAAAAGACATTGACTTTAAAAACTAAACAATTACAATTTATGTCATTAACAGTATTTTCTTTTTTTTTTTACATATCTCACTCTGTCAAAAACGTCATAAAATTATTGAATCATTAACATCATATATATCTTGAACGACTCGTGCAACGTATGGGGTAAACACTAGTTATATATTAAAGCAGAGTTCTTAATCGGCACGTGTCGCCCAGAGAGCAAGTTTTGCCAATTATGCCATGTGTCGTCACCAAAATTCTCCTTCATTAAACAGTTAAAAGTTTATTACTAATACATGAAATTGTTAAATTGAATTAAGTAATTAACAAATAGTTAATTTTGAAATAAATAAACACGTCTTTGGTAATTATTGACAAATATATAACATAAGGGAACATTAATCATCAAATTAATAATTGTATTGAGAATATAGTTTGAAACTAAGTCTGAATACATTAAACGTAAGTTAATATTATTTTTCGGATGATTCTGATATATTTTCCAAAAATTAAAAGATATTAGTTACCAAAAAAAAGATGTTACCAAATAACTATACTACGAATACAATTCGAAACCAAATGTACCTATAGTACAAGTATGTTAATATTATTGCTTAGATAATTGGTATATTTTCCATAAATAAAAAGAGACTACTTATCAAAATGAAGAGATTATTTACCAAATAATTATATGAGTATAATTCAAAACTAAGTCTGGATATATTAAACATAAGTTGATAATATTTCTCTGATGATTCCATTTGATATATTTTCCAAAAATAAAAATAGATTAGTTACCAATAACAAAAAAAAACATATTTGTTACCACATAATTATACTGCAAATACAATACGAAACTAAGTCTGGATAAATTAAACGTATGCTCATACTATTTTTCAGATTATTCCATTTGATATATTTTTCAAAAATAAAAAGAGATTAGTTACTAAATAATTATACTACAAATACAATTCGAAACCAAGTCTATATACATACAAGATAGGTTAATATTATTTTACAGATGATTCCATTTAATATATTTTTCAAAAATTAAAAAGAGATTAATTTTAAAAATTAAAAGGAGATTAGTTACAAATAATTATATTATGAATACAATTTCAAAACCAAGTCTGGATTCATTAAATGTAGATTAAAATTATTCCTCAAAATATTTTATTTGATATATTTCAAAAAATAAAAGAGATTAATTACAAAAATAAAGAGATTAGTTAACGAATTATTATATTACAAATACAATTTAAAATTAAGTCTAGATACATTAAATATATATTAGTATTATTTTAAATACACAAGGGTACATGATGAAATAACGTCTTTTGTATGGGTAAATTCAAATAAAATTTTTTATCTCCATCTAAAAAATTTTAAATGGAATAATAAACATGTAAAAAAATAGTATTTTGTTCATATCCAAACAATTTTAAACTGGAAAAAGGAACATGTAGCGAGCATATCATGTACTTATATTTTGTCACTTTAAAGTAATCTTTCTTTAATGTGTTTTAAAAGACAATTACATCATCATATTAACATACATGTACACAAACTATATTACTCATAGTACGTATAAGTTTATAAGTGGCAATGCAATTAAAAGGAAAAACTTCTTATTTTAAGAAAAGAAGAACGACGTGAAAAAAAAACTTCATTACCACTTCATAAAATGTAGTTACAACTTTCTAATATCTAAAGCTATGAAGAATAATTTTAGTTTATTTTATATAAATTATTTTTATATAAAAATTTTTTATTTTATTTCTTTTAATTTATTGGTGATTTGAAATGGAGCAACTTTTATGGATAGAGTGATACTTGGAATTTTGGATAAAAATGGTTTTTGTCATAATGTATTATTATTATTATTATATAGATAGATAGATAGATAGATAGATAGATAGATAGATAGATAGATAGATTATGATGATTCTATTTGATATATTTTTTAAAAATTTAAAAAAACAGTTATCAAAAATATAAAAGTTAGTTGCCAAAATATTATATTACGAATACAATTTGAAATCAAGTTTAGATACATCATACATATGCTAATATTATTTTTAAAATAATTTCATTTTGATATATTTTTCAAAAATAAAAAGAGTTTAATTTCAAAACTAAAGGAAAAAGTTATGAGTCCAGATAAATAAAATGGGTCATGCACCCACCAGGCACAACCTGTTTTGCTATTAAAAAAACTAAGGAAAAAGTTTGGAGTATGGATAAGTATTTCAAAATTATTTATTAGTTTTTTTTGTCATGGTTTTCCCCCTCTATCTTTTGTACTTTATTTACTTTTGTTGGAATCTTATTTTTATTTTGCTTTATGCTTAAAAAAAGATTATTAATAATACTTGATTCAATTACTACAAGTAAACAATATATGTTTTTCAGTCAATATATTTTAATAATATACATGATTTAATTTATTTTGTTGAAAATAACTTTTATATACTTATATCCCTAAAAAAGTAGGATAGTAGACAATTGATCATATTAATTCGTATTTAGAATACTTTTTTTTGATATACTATCACTCCTAAAAAAGAAGCATATTAGATAGTTGAACATATTGATTTGTATTTTAAAATACCTTATATGGCTAAGAAGTACTTGATCAAAGTGGTAACAATATTGGACCAAGTTAACTACAATCCATGATTAAATCTGTGCATGGGCATATAGTAATGATTGTTGGGAGAGATTTGTCTTTCAAAAGTGACCTACCCAATTCGAAAACGGATTAGTTGGAACAATGATTTCAAACACCGGATGCACTATCAAAAACGGGAAAAAAAAAAAAAACATATGACGCTCTTGAATTTGGACTCCAAATGCCTAATATACCAAAAAATAGAAAAACTAAAACATATGACACTTTTCATAGAAAAATAATAATATATTAATGTTACTATAAAATATAATAAAATCCGCACAACGTGCGCGCATAATACTAATTTAAAAATTAATCCCAACATATGCTCATTGAAGAAATTACGAAGATTGAAATAAAATATTCTTGAATTACTAGGAACAAAAGTTTGTTCCAATGGCATAAGCAAGCCATCCACCCCTTGTATTATGGGTTGATTCTAAGTGACATCACATATATTTAACTAAATATTTTCAAACTTTAAAAATAATTGAACTTGTACCCTAACCTCATTACTTACATGTTTTTTTCAACAGTAATCATTTTATCTTGAAAGACGACGAGTAGGTGAATTAGACTTTCAATTTTTTTGAGCAAGGAACTCGTTGTACTTAACCTAAAGGATAAATTAATATGAAATTATCATTTTGTTTTATAAAATAACTCAAGTGTCGATGTGATTTTTTATTCGTTTATTGTCATATATTTGTTTCTTCGTTCTATTACCATGTTGAGAGTTAAACTTATAATTATCATCTCCTACTCTTATACTCCCTCAGTAAATAGTCCATATTAGTATAAATCTAAAAATTTAATGTGAATTTATTTTGAAAAAGAGTTAGTACTTTTTACTTATTCATATTGTCACTGATAGTAAGAAAATCTCCTAACAGGAACTGTTCCTATCGTCCAAATGAATTAAGTTCATTTTATTTTAAAAATAGGAAACTAACGGAATATGGTAAACGAGATGAAGGGAAGAACTAATTGAGACCATCTTGAGTGTACTCGGAACCCCCACGGTCCCCTTCCTATTTTTGGCATTATTAGTCCTTATTGTACTTTTTCTAAATAACTTTCTATATTTTGTAAATTTAGTCCATGTTACGTTTTTTCTCTCTCCTCTAAAAAAACATCTCTAATCTTTAAATGAGAATAACTCATGATCCGTGAAGAATTTCTGAACGAATAGTATATGAAATTTATAGTAGTCGACGAAATCTATCCGATAAGATCAATATTGAATATTAAATTCAAAAAATTTAAAAAAAAAATAGAATACTCTAGGCAGAAACGAAAAAAGTATTTGTGCGTCCATTTTTTTGTATTGACTATCCAACCTTTTTGTATTGATTATCCAATCATTTTCACTGATTATCTAAACAGAATTTCTTTTCTTTTCTTTTTTCTTTTGAAAAAATATCTGTCCAATGTGTTCATACTGATTATCCAACTTCTTGATGATGGTTATCCAATCTTTTTTTTTTCTTGTTTTTTTATAAAAATGATTGTTAAATTTTTTGTACTGACTATCCAACCATTTATACTGCTTATCTAATTATTTTCATTTCTTATCCAAACAGAATTTGTACTGCTTGTCCAATTTTATTTTTTTTTTGAGAAAATATGTATCCAATATATATGTTCGTACTGATTATCTAACTTATCGGTATGGTTATCAGACTTTTTTTTTGCTTGTACTTTTATGAAAATGGTTGTCGAATTTTTTATACTGATTATCCAACCAGTTTGTACTTCTTATCCAATTATTTTTACTGGTTATCCAAATGATTTGTAATTGTTATCCAATCATTTTTTTCTGAAAAAATGGTTGTCCAATGTTTTCATACCGATTATCTAACCGATTTGCACTGTTTCTCTAATAATTTTTTTCTTTTCATTTTTATGAAAATTCTTGTCCAGTATTTTTTACTAACTATCCAACCGTTTTGTATTGGTTATCTAATAATTTTTACTGCTTATCCAAACATGGTTATGGTAGATCCAATGCTCTGTATTACTTATCCAACGTGTTTGTACTGGTTATCCAGCCAATGTATATTGGTTGTCCAAATATTTCTATAAATTCCCAGAAACAATGGATAAATAATATACTGCAACAATATTATCAAATACTGGTTATCCAACTGGTTACTGATGATTATCCAATCATTTTCTACTGCTTTTCTAACCTTTTCTTTTTTTTTATTTTATAATGGAGGTAGTTTCTAATGCTTGTCCATAATCTTACTTCTGGTTATCCAACCAGTTTGTACTGGTTATCTAAGAGTTCTCTACTTCTTATCCAAATGTTTGTTAGTGCAACATTACTGTCAAATAAAAGAGGTTGAATAAGCACTAGGAAACTGGTGGATAGGTGGCGGCCTGATTCAAATTCACTCTCACTTTTTTTGCAGATAGAAATAGGTACATTCGGAGGTGTTGGATAAACACTATAAAAGCAATGAATAGCCGCCGCGATTTAGAGAAGCAGTAATAATGATTGGATAAGCAGTACAAACGGTTGGATAATCAGTGTAAAAAATACGGACAAGGATATCCAAAAAAATGTAAAAAGAAAAAAAAGTTGGAGAAGCAGTGGAAACCGATCAGTTGGATAATTGGCATGAAAACATTGGACAACCATTTTTCAAAAAAAAAAAAAAAAATAAATAAATGATTAGACAAACAATACAAAATGTGTTTGGATAAACAGAGAAAACGGTTGGATAACCAATGCAAAACGGTTGGATAGTCAGTACAAAAGGCCGGACAAGAATTTTTCACAAAAAAATAAAGAAACAGAATTGGTTGGATAATCAGTACCAAACAATTAGATATACATCAATTCATTACTAATTATCCGAAAACTTTATACTGCTTGTCCATATATTTTAACTGCCTATCTAGCTAATATGATTATTACTTATCCACCATAACATTGGGCCTCAAATCTTTAACCAAACTCTGTCAATATCTCAATAACAAAGATTAAATGGATGGAGATCAAATTAAATTAGATTTCTAAAAAACAAATCATGTTATTAAGGATGGGCGGCGGTTATTGCTGATAATTCAAAAATGATTAGACAAGTAGTACTGATTAACCAACTATTTCTTGTGCTTATTCAAACATGATTTGTATTGTTTATCCAATCATTTTTGTGGCTTGTCCCGAAATCGAGGCGGTTATCCATTGGTTTTGTAATGTTTATCCAATGCATCGGAATGTACCTATTTCCATCACCAAAAAATGTGAGAATGAATTTAAATCGGGCTGCTGCCTATCCATCGGTTTTCTATTACTTATCCAACGTCTTTGTACTCACTATCCAAGACAATATTTGCTTCATTTCTGTTCGGAACATTTTAATTTTTTTATTTTTTCAAAATTAATATTCAATATCAATCATATCAGATAAATCTCGTCGATCACTATGAATTTCATATATAATTCGTTTTCTAATTCTTTACGGATCAAGAGATATAAGGAACACAACAATATGAATATAAAATAAATTGGTTATCTATTTTCTTAAACTGGATATCCATCCAAATAACATACAAATTTCCTTCATTTCTGCTCATCAAGATTTAGTCATTTTTAAGTTTGAAAAAAATATTCGATATAGATCTTGTTGGATAGATCTCGATGAGTACTATGAATTTCATATCTAATTCGTTTTCTAATTATTCACGTATTGAGAGATATGCTCATTTGAAAATTAGAGATATTTTATGAGGATAGAAAAAAAAAAGTGACAGGAACTAAACTTGCAAAACATAAGAAATTTGAGAAAAAATACAATAAGGATCATATGTGCGAAAAATAGGAAGGGGATCATGGTGGTTCTGGGTCTAAGAATTTGTCCTAATTTATGTCTCCAATTAGTTGTTCTAAGTGTTGGAATAAATTATTCTAGAGAAAAGACAACCCATTCTTAATTAGGGAGGATAATGTTGCATAATTGCTTTCTTTTGGATTTCTTGCCTCTCCACCCGTTTGAAAAAATTCTCATCTCGTAACTCATACTACAAACAAACAAACAGTAAAAGGCGGGAATACGAGTCCAGAACATCTACGAAATTTCAAAAATACCCCTCGATTGCAAAATTTTAAAAGCTAACAAACAAAAATAATGATAATAATAATTAAAATTGAATTGATAGTACAGCTAAAATCTACATTTCGTTATCATTTACCAAACCCAACCAATAAATTATTACAAAAACAGTTTTCCAAAAAGGCAGGACAGATTCGTCAGATCAAATCCAAATGTCGCCCCCATAAAAATCATCATCACTCTCATCACTTTTTCTTTTTCACTTTAACTAAAATTTTAATTTAAGTTTTTTTTATTTCTTTCGTTCTAGAAATATTTGAAAAAAAAAGAACTGAAAAACCTGTTATAACGGAAAAGCTAAAAAGGAAAAAAAAAAAAAAGAAGAAAGAAAAGAAAAGAGAAATTGCATTTTGTTCGTCGTCGATCTGTGTAATGTATATCCCAAATTTCCCCACGATCAATTCTTCTTGATTTCTTTCTCTAAGATCTCTCCCACCACATTTCCCTTCCTCTCTCAGGTTTGTACATTTCTTCTGGGGTTTTTTGTTTCAAATTACGGATCTATTTTTTCTGTGCTAATTTTAATCATAAAGGTTGATTAATGTTTGTTTTCTCCATAGTCTGATGCTGATAATTTTTTTCCAGAGGTTTTAGGTTGTTTTTAGAATAGTTGAATGTGTGCATGTTCTGGGTGGTACTCACATTTCTTCAGCTCAGCTTTCTGGTTTTTGTCTGATTTGATTTGGAGTGAAATTGTTTGGGGAATGTACTGCCGGTTGGTATGTTTATGAGTTTTATTATTCTGGGATTCTGTTAAAGGACGCAATGTTGTAAAGATTAATGCTCAGTTCAACGATTTTGTTGGTAATTGGGGGAATTTTAGTTAATTAGGTATAGAAATGACTTAAAACGAGCTGAAATGAGGAAATTTTGTACTCCAATTTAGGTGTTGTTGATTGGTTGAGCCTGCTTAGTATTGGTAGTTCTGTGATATTATTTTGTGAGCTTTCTTTTCTATGATTGTATCAATGGTGGATTGAGTGCTCCAGCGAGGAAGCTAGCTCTTGTATAAGCGCCCATCTTTCTTTCTTTTCTTTTTTTTTTTTTTTTTGTTTTTGGGTTCCTCCCAAAAGCACATTTAGCCTTTCATTCCTGCAATTTCTTCTGGTTGGGACTTGGGAGCCATCAGGGTGGTGGCAAGAAGGTTGCTTGTGTTCATGTGGTGTGTTGGAGGGTGGAGTGTAAGATAAATGAGCATTGCAGCTGGAAGTAGGAATGCTTTCCCGATTATTTGCTTACGTGAAGCTTTAATGTTTTCACTTGTTTGATTTGATATTACACAAGTCATATTTGTCAAGGTTTAATGTTTTCTTCAAGAGAGTTTTATTTTGTATTGTACTAATGTCGTGAATTTATGTATTTCTGTTGTAGGATTCTTCCCGAACTTCTCAAACGTTTTTGCTCGATACTGTCATGAATTCCGAGTTGCCAGTATATACAAGTGAAAATGGGGATCAAGGTAGCTTAGGTGAAATTCTAAATGCGGATGTTGCAGAACGAAGAGAAAATTCAAAAGGTACAGGCATATTAGTTCATCTTCTTTGTTCGAATCCTTGAAAATATTGTTGGTTGTTATATTTGTGTAGCACGAAAAAACTTTTATGCTCTGTGAAATGATAACCATCATCATGAGGAGAGCAAAGGGCATCCAACGGAAAGCAACCTCTTTTTTCTTTTCTTTTTGTATCAAATCATCACAAGCAATCCAACAGCTCAGGGGAACCAGAAAATGGCATTTCCTCCTTTCTTGAGTTACCCTCACTGCCTTCCTTAATGATTCCCTGAGCCTTCTTTAGCTGCCTTCCGCGTAAACGCTCGGCTATGATCCCGAGGGCTGTATTCTGTTCTAGAGAATCCTGGAAGAGTAACCGAGCCATAGATGCTTTTTAAAGTTACCTTGCTTCTTTAGTTCATACCATACTGCCCTTAATGTATTAGGCACATATGAACATCTCGTTTTTGGGCTGAGAAGAAAGGATAAGTCCTTGCTCCAGGAAATTCTAAGAAGAAACTACAGGCCACCAATTATGTCATGTGGCTCAATACGTGTGTGTGCACAAGTCATTGATCCTGATTTACCTAAAACATTATATATACTATTTTAACATTAGCCGACCCCAACTAGTGGGAAAAAGGCTTGTTGTTGTAGTCCTCTTTGGATTGCCTATGATTCTGCCCGGACAGCACTCCCATGTTTTCCTGTAGTCCCATCCCAGCTTTTAGGGGGCTTTGGTTTTTGCAACAGGCTGTGGGTATTTGTAGCTTGTAGCTATTTAAGATTTGTAAGCCTCATTGTCATGTGCAACTCTTTTGACCTAATGGAACTGAAAGTTTACCAATATCTTTTCTTGTTTGGTCCCTATACAATATGTTTGCAAATATATGGGGCACATTTGCCATTGAGGTCGCAAGTTCGTTTCCGAACATTCTCTACAGATACAGAATTGCTGGGAACAATCCACTTCATGCAATCTTAATTAAGCCTCATGATCTCTTCATGATTTTGTCTTCTGGACTTGAGAGTGATAATAGTTGGATTCGGTGATTGATTTTATTTCTTCGAGGACTCCATTGCAGTAAATAAAGCTAGGGATAAGACCCTTTTCAAATTTCCAAACAGCTTAGAGCTTGGGAAGCTTGGACCTAGTCAAGATCTGAGTGGCAAGGGTCCACATATTTGGCATTATGATTTTAGTTCCTTTTGTGGTTGAGCAGTGATGAAGTATTTGGTTACCTGCATCTACATATATGCTGATTACACTTTATTGTTATTGGGCCTTTTCATTAATAATACACGGCTGTGTTGCAGGAGTTCATCATGAAGGTGATAAGTTTGGTGATATTTTCCAGTTGAAGCATGGATCCTTTGCTGACCTTCCAGCTGCGAGAATTTCAGAAATGATGAAAGTGGAAAGTTTAGAGGTGATGCTTTTTTTTTTTTTTTTTTCCCTATCGCCAGTAGATACATGTTCGTTTTGCTTCTATTTTACTATTTTCCTCACCTCCAAAAATTACACTTTTGATATGCTTTGGTCAATATGTCTCCTCAGAATGCCTCCACTCAATCACTTTTTGCTGTTGTAAGTAAGATTCTGGATGAAAGCATTGAGAGGAAGAATGGTGACATTCCTCTGGTATGGCTACAGTTGATTTTGAGTTGTAGTGTTTATAAATTTTCTACTTTTGTATTGAATGAACTTTCTAAAATTTCTACTGGTGCTTTTGCTTTGTTACTCAGCGGGTAGCATCCTTACTAAAATTGGTAGTGCAAGAGATCGAGCAGCGGGTTTCTAAATATCCTGAAAACATGAAAAAGGTTATTCTCTGATTGATTTTTTCCTGGAACACATTCTACAAATCTCCCTAGTTTTCTCTGAAATTCTACATAATCTCTTGCTGCAGCAAAGTAATTTGTTTAAGTCTCGTGAAGAGAGATACCAGTCAAAGATTAGGGCCCTTGAAACCCTTACCCTGGGTTCAACAGATGAAAAGGAGGTACAAAGAAAGTATTGCATGTGGTCTTGTGTTTGTCCATCCTCATGCCAATCATGGTTTTGTTTTCTTCATGCAGATCATAATGAACCAGCTTCAGCAAATGAAGGTGTGTCTCTTTTACTTCAGGGCATATTTGAGATCGATATCTTTTATGATCCTTGCTTTTAGCCTCAGAGTTGTGGATGTTTTTGTTTGATCTGCATTGTCATGTATGCTGTCAAAGAACATAAATAGGCAAAAATGGAGAAGTATTTGACCCCAGTCCATGATGTGTTATTTTAAGCAGCATCCTCACACCTAAAGAAACGTTAATGGAACTAAGTGAAGAAGCTCATACAAACTATGCCATTGGCTTTATCTTACCGTGTCTTGAAAATACACAGCACCGCTGAGAGTTTTGCTTCAAATGTTGAACTATTTTTAGAGGGTTGTGAACGTAAATAAGCTGGTCTAGTATGTTCTATTTCCATTAGATCTTTCAGTGCTTTGTGTTTAGTTGTACCTCAACATGCATATAGATTCTTGATATTGTAAATTTCAGTATGCATAGGTTGTGTGTTGACTGATCATGTCCTTGGGAATGATTGCTCTTACACTTTCTCTACGCTTCTCAACTACTATGTACTAGGTCAATTTTAGGTTGGTTAGCTTGAAAGTATCTCTTTGTTCATGAGCAAGTTTAGTGTTTACTGCTAAAAAGTGTTCCTTCTTTTAGATTGAGAAGGTAAGAGCTGACGAGGAGAGAAAGGAAGAAGAACACCACTTAATCAGGATACAGACAGAAAAGGACCATTATGAGATTAAATTGTCAGCGTTGAAACAAGAGATGGAATTGGCAAAGAAAACACATGAAAACAACTGTTCCCAGCTGGAAATACAAGCTTCAAAATCCAAAGCGGACTTGCAAAGCAAAATATTGGAACTGGAGCTCCTTCTGAATGACTCAAGAAAAAAGGTGAAAGAACTTGAAAACTTTGCGCAATCTAAATCATTGAGATGGAGAAGGAAAGAACACAATTACCAGCACTTCATTGATTCTCATCAGGCTTCCCTGCAGGTTTGTATTTCAGGTTATAAAAGTTTCTTTGTGTTCCTTCTTCCCTAAAGACTATATACGTTTTAGTTGTACATCTCTCTAATAGGATGTATAATTGGTATGCATTTGTCTAGGACCTGAGAACAGTGTCCGACTCGATAAAGAAAGAGATTTTGAATACCAAAATGATCTACATTGACGAAATTAATCAATTTGGTAAGGTTTATAACCTAGAGTTTCTTTCTGCCTTTGTACAAATCCTGTTTCTTTAATGTACAGGAGTCTGTAAGTATCATGATAGAATGTCACCTGATCCAGGTTGGGAGCTTAAAGGATTAGTGGATGCTGCTCAGAATTACCATGCAGTACTTGCAGAAAACAGGAAGTTGTACAATGAGATCCAAGATTTAAAAGGTTAGACTGTGTCATTATACGCTTCATTCAAAGTTAGAAAATGATCTTTAACGCATCTACAATTTGTTTGTTCCAGGCAATATTAGAGTCTACTGCCGAATTAGACCATTCCTTCCAGGACAAAGTCAAAAGCAAACTACAATTGAATATATTGGCGAAAATGGAGAGCTGATAGTTACAAACCCCTTAAAACAAGGAAAAGACAATCATCGTCTGTTCAAGTTCAATAAAGTCTTTGGTCCAGCAGCTACTCAAGGTTTTTATATAATCGTTTACTTTGTAAAACTCTACTTGTTTCAAAACTTAATTTATTTTGGCTCATTTTTTCTTTTCTTTTCTTTTATTTTTTTTATTGATACATTTTTTTTTTCCCAGAGGAGGTGTTTCTAGACACTCGGCCACTAATTAGATCTGTTCTTGACGGGTTCAATGTTTGCATATTTGCCTATGGCCAAACTGGTTCAGGGAAAACTTATACTATGGTACGTTGTCTTCTCCTTATTGTTCAAGGAAATATTCCAAATTAATTTGAAAACCGAAATTGGTTAAGGGAAATACTACCATTTTCAAGTTGAAATACTACTTGAACTCTCATGCATTTGTTGTTCCAACTGTAGAGTGGTCCTAGTGTATCATCTGTTGAAGATTGGGGAGTCAATTATCGGGCTCTAAATGATTTGTTCGACATCTCTAGAAGCCGAAAGAGTTCCATCAAGTATGAAATTGGCGTACAGATGGTTGAAATATATAATGAACAAGTGCGTGACTTACTGAGCAATGAAAGCTCTCAGAAGAGATATCCTTTTCACTTAAAATGAAGTCGGAATGTGGCCTTTTATTTTTGTTAGTTGTTTGAAGTCAGAAATGGCCTATTTCTATCATTTGTTTTTCCTTGTTTCTGGTACCGAATGAAATTGTATGTGTGATGCTTCCTTGTTAATTTTACTGTCTTTCTTTGACTTGCACACACTTGGGATTTGGAATACCACTCAACCAAATGGCCTAGCTGTCCCTGATGCAAGCATGCACCCCGTCAAATCAACTGCAGATGTCTTAGAGTTTATGAAGATTGGCTTGATGAACAGGGTTGTTGGTGCAACTGCCCTCAATGAAAGAAGCAGCCGCTCTCACAGGTATTTTAAGGCTGTGGTTTGCCTTGTCTTACATTTTTACTGCTCTTAGTGGTTTAATAGATTCTGTTCTGATGGGTTGTGATCTGAAAATCGCAGCGTCCTCACTGTTCACGTCTTTGGGACAGACTTGAAGACCAATGCTGTTTTACGTGGTTGTCTACATCTGATAGATCTTGCTGGTAGTGAAAGAGTAGATCGCTCTGAGGCAACAGGGGATCGTCTGAAGGAAGCGCAACATATAAACAAGTCTTTGTCTGCTCTTGGAGATGTGATTTTTGCACTAGCACAAAAGAATTCTCATGTGCCATATAGAAACAGCAAACTAACTCAAGTTCTTCAAAGTTCTTTAGGTATGTTGAAAATAACTATAAGTTTTTCTTGTATGCTTCATAACAAGTTTCTTTTGGTAAATGTTTTTCCTATTGTCCATGACTGATAGTGTCCACCTCCAATTAGGTGGGCAAGCCAAGACCATTATGTTTGTTCAACTTAATCCTGATTTGGAATCATATTCTGAAACTGTGAGTACCTTGAAGTTTGCCGAACGAGTTTCTGGTGTTGAACTGGGTGCTGCCCGGGTAAATAAAGAGGGTAGGGGAATCAGAGAGCTGATGGAACAGGTACGTTGCTAGTTTACTCTAACTTACTGGTATTCTCTTAACGATTTTTTTGAAGTTGTTTCCTCAAACTCATCTGTGTTTAGCATTAAATTGGATTGTTAATTGACGTGCTGTAGTAAAGTACTAGGAAGAAAATCTCTTGTCTCCTCATTGAGGAGTGATGTGTGTTTGAATCTAATCTAATAAGTGACATGGTATAGAAGAGGCTACAAGTGGGAGAAAGGTCTGATTAATTTGTGTCTTATCATGTGGTAAATAGTCTTTCATTTAGATTGTTTGGAACTTAGTCATATTATAGTGGAATGATTGTATTGATTGAGGTGTAGGTAGATGGGCGTGGATCTTTGTTGAATGGCATTTGAAGCCAACTTACGTCTTTGTCAATTTTGAAAAAGATGTTGGATTTTACTTCTAGAAGTTCTACCTTTTTGCATAAAGCTGCTGCATATCATGAAAATGGGCGCCCTTTTTTTGCTGGAATTTTTTTTTTTTTTTTGGGTGAATAAAATGGACGTCTTAGACACTTCATATCTGTCTCATTCATGGAGTCTTCCCTTTGCTACTGAGATGAGGGTGAACTTGCCTGCAAACATCTCAGCTCCTGTTGTAACAATGAATACGTTGATTTTTATATGCTGCCAATATGCTTTTGCTGTTATTACTCATTTATCATTCGTTAGTTCATTAGTTGAGCTATTTGATTATTCTGTACTTACTATCAATTTTTCAGGTGGCCTCCCTCAAGGACCAACTTGCAAGTAAGGATGAGGAGATAGGAAGGTTAAGGCTGCTCAGACCCAATAGTGGTGAGAGGCATGGAATGAATACACAAAGATATGGGTCAGCTTCTCCTAGAAGGCATTCTGTGGGTACATCTCAGCAAAGCCGGAAATTATCAGCATCAAGAAGCCTTGGGGTTAAAGCTGCTTCTGATTTGGACAATAGCTCTGAGTGCAGTGATAGGCATTCTGATGCTGGATCACAGCAGTCGGTTGAAGACTTCAAGTATCCAAGGGATATATATCAGCAATCGAGGCTTGCATTAGCTCATGGCGACCAAAATTTTTTGGAGGATTTCAATTTGAAGCATGTTGTGCCAGATGGAAATCTCAGCCATACAGATGATCCAGAGCTCTTGGGTTTCGGTGATGCTGATTCAGAAGAGAGGTTGAGTGATATATCTGACAGTGTTCTGTCCATGGGAACAGAAACTGATGGTTCAGTAAGTAGTATTGTTGAGTATACTCTTTTCCCGGAGGCTGTGAAACAACCCGACGAGGCCACAGAAAAGTGAGTTTTCCTAGTATATGATTTTTCTGCATTTCATTGCTGCTCGCCGTTGAAAGGAAAAACTATTGTCGGCTAACTGACTTGTTTCTGAATAAGTATAGATAATGACAGTACAGAGTGTGATGAGGTTCTTCTTCTTGTTACTGATAATTGTTATCATTTACCCAAAGAAAAGGTTTCAAAAAATGGTTATCAACACATAGTTTAAGTTGCAGACAAAGTAAGACTAATGCTTGGTTTTTGTGGTTTATGGATTTGGACTGGACTTGGGGGTATAATCTTTCCTGCCTTCATTTTATTGCATGGTTGAAGACTGTACATAGGGAGGTTTTGATTTGTTCGTGAGTTTAAATTATTGCATGGTGTATAATTAGATTGTATGCGATTCCATGGTGGTCCTCACTCCAACCTTATCTGTATGACTAGTGTTATGTCCATCAGTTTATCACTAATGATATTTGGGTCAAAATTAGATTGCAGCTATTCTTTGTTGTTGATGTCTTACGTGTTACTGAATCAGTTTGATGCTAGTCTGGAAATAGTCGGACTTTCTATGATTGCAACCATGACGAGAAAGAAGGATATGTTTGCAACCATGACTTTCTTTGATTGCCTAGTTTGTTGATGTTTTCTTTATCTGTGTCTTCTTCCTTTTCTCACTTGGACATTTGGTTCCAGGCAACTGCAAGTTCCATCGAAGCTTCCTAGACCCCAGCAAAAGCCCAGTGCAACTGCAAGTTCTCAGTTGTCTTCAACCAAGAGTCTCTCAAAAACTGCAAGTAAGAATATTACCTCCCAAATATTATGTACCGTGCATAATCTTGATCCATATTTGAAACTGGAATGAAGAATGAGGAACTGATTTGATTGGATACCTGTAACTTTTATTCTGTTAACCAATTTGATTGATTCCTGTAACTTTTAATCTGCTAACCAATTCTTTTACATCACCCACACACATTCACAGGCGTGCACACACACACGCACATTGTTTGTGATTGTCCTTCTGGTTTCACTATTTTATCCGCCTCACTTACAGGTTCGAAAAGAGGCTCCTCGGGAACCTCATCCGTGCAAAAAGGTAGCTCCTCGACAAGCAGAATTTCTACTTCAAAACGATGGGCAAAATAGACAAATTCAGCAGGAAAAACAAGCAATCCTTCTTGTTTGTGTGGTGACTTCTGTTGTTGATAGGGTGTCCCTATTGTAGGCCTTTAACTATCTATCATCTACAAATTTGAAGCGATGTAGATACTTCAGTTCTTAAGTATGACCATAGGTTAAGCAAAAGTAGTTAGCAGAGAGTTTCAGTTATTCCATGTATGAACATGTCAATACATTAGCTAATATTTTAGCACTGGCTCAAGTGCAAAAATATACTATATATTATTTGTGAAAAATTGCAGAAAAGTTCATTATTCTTCCATCTGACCATGTCAATTCAATTTATGAAGAAAAAAACGATAATTTCTATCTTCATCCTCTTTCAAAGAAAGAAGCCAAAAACACAATGGACAGCCTAACACATCGTCTATGAGAAAGATAATAGCTAAACTCTATCTTCTACACATCGTGAACAAACCACGGTTTCTTTAAGGAATAGAACTAGTGGCCCGAATATGAAAATCATTACTCCAAACAGAAAGTGTGGTAAAATCTTGCTGTAGCCTTCACCAATGGCAATCACCAATGGACTGATTGCTCCACCGAACACTATGGCTTGCCAGACTATTGACACTGCAGAATTTCTGATAGTTGTGGGAAATAACTCTACTGTGTAAATCATCAACAAGTTGAATGCTGCACAGGCACTAAAGAAGGACATGAGTTGCAGTCCAATTTGCAGCCAAACCCATCTCTTAACTAAGATACAGATAATACCACATCCACCACTTATGGTGCTTAATGCCAGAAGTGAAGTCCTTCGCCTGCATCTAGCCAAATAGAATGTCAACACTGCTGACGGAATCTCCAACATGGCGCTAAAAGCAACACTCAGGTAGAGGCTAAAGTCAAAGCTCCCGAGACCTAATGGTGTGCCATAGTAAATCAATCCAATGCCAAATCCGATGAGCATAGCCATTGTCAGCTGTTGAATGATGCTCCTGTCTGACATAATTTTCAGCAGAGATGGGTTAGGAGCTCCTCCTGTACTCTCTGGCCTGTTCAGAGTGTTTTGCCTGATATTGTCTGCCGAAAAGCTCAAGTTCTTGCGGTTAGGATCTAGATTTGCATTGAGAACTGCCACAGCTTCGCGAACTCTACCTTGTTCAAGTAACCATTTTGGTGACTCATAAACACAGAACTCTATCAACATACAATAAACAATTGCTGGCGCAGATGTTAAGAGGTAGAGACTTCTCCATGAATAATCCCTAGCCATATAAGCTATAGCAGGTAAGGACATATAACCAAGCGTTGAACACAAGAAGCCCACAACTCCAACCTTTCCTCTCCATTGCTTTCCAACACTCTCTGTTGTTAAAACCAGGACGCATGATCCAATAGCAGCGCGGCCTAAACCACTTACAGCCCTGAAACCCGAGTAGATCCATATGTTGTTGGAGAAAGCAGTGAAGATAGAAGCAGTAGACATGGTCAAACATGAGAGAATTAATAGCTTCTTTCGACCGAGTGAGTCTCCAAGGAAGCTGAGAATGATTCCTCCAAGGAGACATCCCATGAAGAATGATGATGCTGGTAGGCCTGCAAGGATTTTGTTGCTGGTACACAGGAGGGACCAATCAGATATGATAGATGTCCGGGCTGGCCGGTCCCATTGCCATGAATCTGCTGGAAGTTTGCATATGTTTGATCCTGAATTACAAGCAGTACTGTTGGAAGTGCCCTGTGTGTAGTGCCAAGAGGGATTGGCGTCCGCGAAAATAGTTATGAAAGTTTGCTGAGCCTCAAAGAAGGAAGCCATTGAAATCAGGATGACTTGTAAAGCTTGTGACCATCTGAATCCTCCAATGTACTCTTCAATAAAATCATCAAGAATGTCTGCTTTGGAGGGTTCAACATCATCTGAAGAATAGTTTGAGAGCAATGGAGTTGATTCCTCCTCCATTTGAACTCAAAAAAAATGGTTTCTGATGCAATGAAAAAATTATCTTCAAGCAGGACTGCAGTTTGCAAATGTGTGAATATGAAGGCCTGGAAGCTCCAATATATTCTTGTATATACACCTGTCTGGAAGGTAAAAGTCAGTAAACAACACTTTGATCTCTAAATGATTGACTGATATCTTCTGTCTCCCATGGCAGAATAATTAAGAATTTTATAATGGCCTTTGGAGGTAAACATGGTGATTATATTGACTTGTTTAATCCAAAATCTATGTTGACTCAAAAGTCTCAAAGCTCTAATTGGCATTCAAGTCAGGATCATTCTGTGTCATGTGTTGTGGACTTTGGAGGGTTAAAGGTTTGTTAATGCTGTTTAAAGAGAATAACTTACTACACGCAACAATTTTTCTACAAAGACATGACAATGTATTCCCTCCATTTATATATGCAAGACAATCATTTTACTACAAAGAGAGTATAACGCTAAGAATCTCTGGCCTGATCTCATCCAAATGAGGGTTTTTTATTATTTTTTTTGGGCGTAAAGTCCAAAAATATTGGAGGCTGGTTCTGCCCTGATTCTTCCAAATCATGACTCTGCATGTACTAACAGTGAACATGTGCATATCTGAAATTGAGAGCACGCACTAGCATGGCCTAATGAATTATTGGAATTGGGGAACCATGTCAAAACAGATTGGCCATTTCAACTCAACCTAAACCCAACCTTTACTGTGTGTGTAGATTCTTAACATCTCCGCACTATCAAAATGCAGTTTTCTTCAAGTTTTAAAATTGGAATTGTTGTCACACTACTTCGGTAAAGAATTAGATAACTTGCCAAATATTGCCAAGAAGGTGAAGTTGTTCATATGGTAGAAATACAGGCAGAATATTTGGAGACTTCGATGTGATAAATCTGCCCTTTACATTACAAAGTTTCATTAAGTTACTACTCATCATGACTTTGAAGTGCTCCTTGCTTCAATATTCTTATAATTGAGCTAGTAAGTTGTTACTCTCTATCTAATACAACAAACAAGATAATCAACAGTGAACATAAAAAAAAATAAAAAATCAATATTAAGCATACATCCACTAACATCTACTCTTTGAACTCTTTTAATCAATTAGGGAGATAAAAATATCACATGTGAACCACTCTCGAATTTCAATTCTAAACAGACACATAATATACAATTATCACGTCACTCCCCGAGTTCTTTTAGAATCTAAAACTCATATTTTAATCAACTCGGGAGATAAGAATATCGTTTCTCAACTACTAGTGTGTAGCGAATTTCAATTCTAAAACAAATACATAAGACACAATTATCACTAGGAGTTTTTTGAGAATCTAAAACTCATCTACCACGTACTTAGCTGGGGCTCTTCTGTCCCAGAGAAATCTCCTACGTGTCAATCTGCATTTTGTGCCCATCTCACATTGCAAGTTTTAGTGTAGCAGGTAGAGAACTAGAGATTACTCATGGTTTGGAACCATCTCAAACGTTGATCAGTTCCCTTGATTCATGTATTACTTACTTCATATCATGTTCTTCAAATTGCAACATCAAAACAAACGCTTAAAAACACAAAAAAACTGACCACAACCTTTTATCGAATTAATGGCAAATATTCAGACATGCAATAATTGAAGAGCAACACACTACTATTTTGTCCCGTAACACAAATAATAGATACAGGCAATAATTCGATCGACAGGCAGAATACTCCATAGTTGCCGTTTCTAGAATCAACTGAGGGAGATAACTCTTTCTGAATATAGTCAATGATGATGAAAGCGCGATACTATACATGTTACTATGGCTATGGTAATCCGATTCACCGAGACACCATTCCCTCTGGCATCCAATTAGTAGAGCTTTTATGTACTCTTTCGGTCTCAAAATAATTGTCCTTTAGATATTAAAAATGAACCTCCAATCTGGACAATTATTTTAGGAACAGAAAGAGCATAATTTGTATGATACAACAAATTGCCAACACAAACTGTCACCCTCGATAAAGCCCTAGAAAGCACAGAATGAATCCTTTTTGATAAATGGTTTCTTTTACATGGGTCAAGAAATTTTACTCCATCTGTCAGTGAAATAATTATTCACTTTTGAAATTTCATTTGTAATATAAAATATACTGAACTTGAAAATCTAATTGGAACAATCATTTTAGGATAAAAAGTGACATTTATTTTTTACTAGTTATAGAGTTCCTGAATGCCACCATCATAAAGAAGAATTTACATTGGAAGAATGTGAAGATTGAAGAGTAGTTTATAGGGACTTACGTTTGTTGTTGAAGCTACAGCTTCTGACTGAATCAGGTAGGTGCTGATCATATACTCTGAGTAAAGTATTCAAAGTGTATATATATACACACATATATAATTAATTCCTAATATTCGAACGTTATGTACTTTTTGGAAAAAAGAAATCTTGTTGCGAGTAGATTTAGGAGACCGAGCAATTTTTGGGATATGAATATCGGTAATAAAGTCGGCCAGTTGGGCTCCGGCCCTGTTGAACGTTTTTGTAATCTGTAACGCCTAAATAATTTACAATAACCAAAGTGGTTGTGGTGGGATTGAAGGGACTCCTCCATCTTTCACCATAGGTTGAGAGTTTGAAATTCGCCATGAACATGGAGTAACCTTAAATAGGATTAGTCACTGTTACCGAGCGTTCAAACCTTGCCATGAGCATGGAGTAACATTAAATACTTTGCCCAGTTGTCCCACTCATCGAAGTGCCTACAATTCAGTGAAAGGGATTAGTCACTTTTGCCGACAGTGGACACCCTACAAATATGCAATAATAATAATAATAATAATAATAATAATAATAATAATAATAATAATAATAATTTACAATTCTTTTTTCACTTTTTTAAAACATAAATGAATGTCTCATCATAGCTTGATTTCCTACAATGCATGATTGTTACTATAATCTGGATATGGATATAAATTTATTGGTGCCGTGTCACTCATTAACATTTCACATGACTTTTCCGATATGAATTATGGATTAACATGTAAACATATATTCCCTCCATTCCAAAATATGTCACTAAAGGAATTTCACAAAATTTAAGGAGACAATAAATATTTGATTAAAATACTAAACTACTCTCATTTATTCTCAATACAATTTTATTTTCAATATCATTTAGTTCTAATACACTTTTACTTTAAATACACTTACAATTTCCCATGTAGAGACAATGTTAGAAGAAGTTGATAAAATATGCCTAGATATGCGTAAACGACATCAATTTTGAAAAAAAATTGGTTTCCCTCCAATGACATATATTTTGGAATAGAGAGAGTATAATATTCACATTTTATATGTAATGGATCACGATTTACAACACCTTTAATCCCTCCAAATATGCAAAGTCAACCTCTATAAACGCAGAACACGAGGCTCACGCACGAAATATCTCTCCAAAATATATTCAATCACCCATAAATTACAGTGGATAATTTTATCATTCGAGTGCTTTTGGGCTCTGACCCCTTTTCCATAAACTTTGACCGTCATCCCGAACTTGACAATCAATGGTGGCACTGACACTATGTAAATCACACACGCATCCGATACTTAAATTAAACACCGAAATTATCGAAAGAATGACAATACAAATAATCACAATATACTTTCTTTCCATCCCAAAATTATTGTCTAGTTTGAATTTTTATTTTTAGTACAAATTAAATGAAAAGTGAAAATCCAAACTGCATAATAATTTTGGGACAAGAAAAATATATTATTGAACCTATATAAATTCATATATTTGGACTCCTTAAATTTTTTTAATTTATCGATAATCTAATAACTTATTAATTTGAAGATTTTTTTCAATGCTATTAATCAACAAATTACAAAAATTAATTACTTTCACAATGAAAAAAGTCTATTGCATCTCTATTTATATTATTATAATTTTCATAATAGAACAAAAAAAAATGATGATCGCAAACAAAAAAAATACTTGAGTTAAAATCCTAGTTAATGTTCAAATCTTAGAAAACTCCTAGTTTTTTTTTATTTTTAATTTTAGATATTTTTTTTAATTTCTCTCCCAGCCGCCACCACACAACAACACTTTCTTCCTCTCACAACCATTATTAACGGTGGTAGGGGGCTATGTTTTCAAAACCGTACCGGAAGGTGAACCGTTAACGTGAATGGGTTGGTGGTTTACCGGGTTAACGGGTTAGTTCGTTTCTCGAAACCAGTGACAATCGGTTAAAATAATATTAAAAAATATTAAAAAATTAAATTTTAAAAAAATATATGCAAAAACCGGTTCAACCGGTACCAATTTCCGGTCAAACCGCGATTTTGTCTGGGTTTGACCAAGTTTGACCGGGTTATACAGAATCTGTTTTTTATGGAAATCGGACCGGTGAGGCTTCCGGTTCCTGCGCTAACCGATTAGACAGTCTGGACCGGTCCGGTTTTGAAAACACAGGTTGGGGGAGTCAAATTTCTCTTTTATTTTATGTTTTTTCTCCTATGCTCAAATAAAACCAAAGTAGCGGTCACCAATTGATCCCGCGACTGGCTCCAGACGAACAGATCCAGACCAACCATTGAAGAACAAATTAGCCGCTGCTGATGTAGATCAGGCGCTGCCCTGGGATCATTGGCCGTTGATTAGCCACCTGGCAGTGTTTACTGCCGCAGTCTGAGTTGTTACTCAGATCTGATTCTGCTCCCACCGCCAGAATGCTCCTCTCCCCGCTGCCTCGTTCTCCCGCAGAAGCAGCTGTTGCGCCTAGGCTTAGCACATCTAGTCGCCTCGATTCTGTCTTGACAGATACAGATCGAGACTCTGGTGTCTCAGATATAAGTGCCGCGCGAGAAGCCTGACGCTACGGAGGTCCACCGTTCGTTGTTGCAAGTCGGCAGCCGTCACCAGCTTTGCTGGCCATTTCCAAAGCCGGACCTCAGGCTCTCCGTTACACAGCCGCTTCGTCGGCCAACTCTCAGAAACCGGTTTGCCGGTCCTCAATACTCAGTGAGCCGGCACATATCTTTTCTTCGGTCTG